TCTCGTCTTTTACAAGAAAACGCTTCCCCGCCAAAGACGAGTTTTTACGGCTTTTCGTGTTTTCACTGTTATACACTCGGGGGCGCTATTACGCATCTTCTGAACGAGTACAAAACCTCCCGAACAAAAACACATGTGTACAGGACGGAGAAACGAGCGATCTCTTTTGTAAACAGATGCATATGAAAAATAATGCGATCATCAGCAATAGACAGCATATAAATGAAAACTGCATAATGTTACAGAGTAAAATGTTGATCCAGGAAGTGGTATATGTCTGTGCAAGCTTTGGAGGTGTTGATGGAAGCGATTTACTGGATTTATGCTTTGATAATCTAAAAAAAAAATTATTTTCTCACCTTTTTGCTCAAAATTATGCATTTTTTATGAAACCTACCTATATTCAAATGTTGTATGCTTTAAGCTAGAATAAAACAGATTTTTTTTGTTTGTTTAAAAGTAGAGGCTCTGATCTTTATTTTGGTGTATTGCATATTCAAATATTCATACAGAAAAATATACTGGAGGCCATCAAATTTGAGTGAAAATCATCAAAATCGCTGGCGGTGGCTGGCAACTTTTTAAAAAAATGCTGGCGGGGAAAGAGATAATTTAATAATACAAATACTAATATTTATAGCCTAATTTCTTTGATTTAAAAAGATCTTTGCTTTTAAATTTTTATTAGTTTTCTTTTACATTTCTATTCAGCTTTAATTTATTTTGTCAGCACTCGTTGACTGCATCATCTCTTACTTGTTTTGTCTGTCTTACCTCTTCACCATCTCCATCTCTTTTTCGCGGTGGCTCAGTCATGTCCTCCTGGCTGCGGACGCTAAAGTTCTGGATGGCCTGACTGACTCCTCTCAGGGAGCTGTAGATCTCCTCAGAGTTCATGTTCTCAGTATCGTAATCAAATGCACTGCACGCACGCACGCACACACACACACACACACACACACAAAATGACATTGGACATTAGCCACAGAGAAATTCTGAGCAAACAATTACACAACTCAAATGACAGCATTTGTGAAGTGAATCTTTGTCCATGTTTGTAGTTTGTGATCCAGTGGCATACCTTGGTGATGGTGTGTTTTGTGATGTGTTGGTAGGAGAGGTTAAAGGGCTCGACCAACTGGCTGGTGATCTTGGAGTGTGTCGGGTGAGCGGGCTTCCCGTTGGAGCCTGCAATAAACTTTTTTTAGAGCTGACAGAAAAGTGGTTCAGAAGTGATTCTTAAACATTTACGCTAGGGGTGCGCTGATCCGATATTCAGGATCGGTATCGCTCCGATACTGGCATTTTCTGCTGGATCGGGGTATCGGTCAGACGAGACCGATTCAAATCCTATATAGTGCGTATACTATTCTGTGTTATTGTTAAGCCCCACGAAAGGCACAAAAACATTATAAAGCACCATGTAGTTTCCGTGCACTATATTTCAAGTGTTCTGAGACCGTTCCATAGTTTAATGTGAGGTACAGATGAATATTCAAGTCAAGATCACGTAAATTCTTCTCTCTGCTGCGGCTGTCAGTCATTCTCCATTCAGCATTCAAACTGCGTGTCGCTTTCAGTTACAACAGTCAAGACGACGAAACTCTCTCCAGGATGATACAATGTTCCTGTTATTATACTTGATCTGTAGATAAACATCAGTGGTTTTGCATAAAAGGACTTTATCTTGCTGGAGTTTATAGCTAATTCTAAATCATGTTACTTTCTACCGGGTGTCTGTTAGAGATCACTACACTGGAGTACAGAGCACTATGAGTTGTTCTTCACACGCACAGTAACTAAAATTTAAAACTGTTAAAAGAAAAGGCTCAATAAACTAATGCACAGATTTAATACACTACGCATTAGAATCTCTTCCTTTTGTGCTTTGAAGTTCTCTATGCTGCGCGCTGTGACTCCGTGTTGCTTCAAGCGCATCATTCTGCACACGGGATAAGCGCTTCGTGCCGCTCTGTATTGGAACCCTTTCATGTTATAATACTTTTGCGCAATGAAAGATTGTTAATAGCCTTTGTTGTTCTGTCTTATCTATCATATGTTGCTGCCTCATTACTGTGCTATAAATGTATAAGAAATGTATTTAATTTATTGCATATATTTATATATAATTATATTTACTTGTTTTTCATGAATGTATATTACAATACAAAGAGCAATGTGTAACATTTTACCAGATTACACCTATTTACTTTTATTTTTTTCCCCCACTAAATAATGTTTTTT